TCGCTTAGCGGACGCCCTGAGACGGGGCTGTGGCGCTGCGAGCACTCGGTGCAGGTTGATGCAATTGGTGAAGTCTGCATTAGCCCGCTCTCAGGTGGCTGCGCTGCGGCTATGCCAATTGGCTGTTGCGACGTGATGTGGCATTGTGCTACTGCTGCTTCTATCGCTGACACCCTTGGCTTCCGTTGCTGATGAACGCCGTCTCGCTTTGTGGAGGCTACAATCTCACACACAATGAGGCTTCAATCGTCAGGAAGTGGGTGGAGAGGTGGTTTAGATGAATTTAAGTCCTGGTGCCTATGATTTCTTAGTTCAATAGCTCGGCCCCTTACATGATGAGGTACTGGACGGTGGCCGTGTGCCCGGCCGCGGCGGTATGGTAGAGCGGCTTCCGGTCCTCATTATCCTTCGCCTCCTTATCGGCCTGCTGCTCGACGAGGTACTAGACGACAGCCCTGTGCCCAGCCGCGGCTGCTCCACGATCTTTCTCTCTTCACACTGTCGTGTGACATATCCACGAGTACATTGGCCTGTGCAGTTCCATCTTGTTCCAACCCATCTACACATTTCGGAAGTGTCAAGACAGCTTGAATGGTAGAATTGATATGTAGCTAACATTTGGACTGCCTTAGACCGTTTCCGTATAAGGGAAGTACAGAGATAGTGGTCTTCGGCCGGATTAGCTGAGGGCCGCCTAACTGATTGACCGTGGTGGTGTGGAGCTTGGTAAGTTAGGTGGTATTTGGGCGGTCAGTGAAAAATACGTGTAAAGACAGCTAGGTTAAGTAGGCGGTGTAAAGGCGGTGGGCAGGCGACAGTTACAGTCAAAAACCAACAAGGAAGGCGGTGCGAAGGCGGTGGGCATGGATACTTAGGATGGCTAATCTAGGTAGGCGGTGTGCTAGGCGGTTGGTGAGAAGACTGGTATTGTTCTAGGGCCATCAGGAACGCGATGAAGCGTCTTACAAGCGTAGTGTGAGAGCAGAGGGTGCAGGCAGGGTATGCAACCTTCAGGGGGCCCGGCCGGCCGAGTTTGTACTGTACAGTAGATGGCGAGAGAAAGTTGCCCTCTCGAGGACCTTGGTTTAGAAGAACCAAGGTGAGGTTGGGGGCATGCGCTAGGCCACAACCTTATCTTATCTATCTACATCAATCTCCTTGCTTCCACACTGGTATCACTATTTTCTCTTTTGTAACTGACTGCTTCTTTACTATTGTCGGAGTAGGATTAATAATACTTAGGAACTACTCTTAAGCCAACGGATAGGCCGATCTCCATCCCAACGAGGGCTGCCAAAGTGTAGTGGATTGACCGGGTAGGTAGTATTTAGGCGATAAGCAAAACATAAAGAGGATGGCTAAGTGGAGTAGGCGGTGTAAAAGGCGGTGTATAAAACGGTGGGCAGGAGATAGGTTACAGTTCTTGGAGCAAACAGAGCTTGGATATGTAGCTAACTTACG